TTGGCAATTTTTTGTTAGTAGGGATGTTTGATTCCATGAAACTACTTTTCCTTTTAAACCCATCACCTCATCTGATCCTACCACAGGTTTTCCTCCAACTTTTCCATTGGACCCCATGCCCACTTCACATCCTCTCCCTCTTGCACCATTTTTTGACCCCTCTGTTGACTTTTCCGTTCTGCACACCACCTCACCCGACATCCCCCTGCCATTTCTCCTACCTCCAGCACCACCAGTCTACCCACTTCCCCAATCGTGCCTCCTACACCAGCTCCTTTACCTACCTCCCCAGTTTCCCACTCTGATACTCAATTGGTCCCACCTACTGACCTTCTAGCTCCTCCTATTCCCACACCTCCACCCCTCCGCCATTCCACTCGTACCTGTACCCAACCCACGTGGCAGACAGATTACTACATGAACTTTGCTCATCGTGGACCCCATCAATCATTGACTCCGTTGTCCAGTTCTAAACAAGGTACAAGGCATCCTCTCTCTAATTTTTTATCTTATTCTCTTATTTCTCCTTCCCATTTTTCTTTTCTTGCTAATATTTCTGGTCTTCATGAGCCCACTAACTATAATCAGGTAGTCCAAGATCCCAAATGGTGGGATGCTATGCAAGCTGAGCTTGATGCCCTCATGCACAACGATACTTGGACTCTCGTTCCTTTACCCGCCAGTCATAAGCCTATTGGTTGCAAATGGGTTTACAAGATCAAATACCATTCTGACGGTTCTGTCGAATGCTACAAAGCCCGTCTTGTTGCTAAGGGTTATACCAGCTTGAAGGGATTGATTATCAGGAGACTTTTTCTCCCACTGCCAAACTTACTACTGTGCGGTGTCTTTTAGCAGTTGCTGCTTCTCGCAATTGGTTCCTCCATCAACTGGATGTTCAAAATGCTTTCCTTCATGGTGATCTTGATGAGGTTGTCTACATGGATGTTCCTCTTGGTCTTCGCCGGCAGGGGGAGAATATGGTATGTCGGCTCAACAAGTCCTTGTATGGTTTAAAGCAAGCCTCCCATAGGCAGGTTTCATTCAATCAAAGGCCGATTATTACTTATTTACCAAATCTGAAGGCAACTCCTTTACTACAGTGCTCATTTATGTAGACGACATTATTCTAACAGGCAACAATGAACACGCCATTAAGTCCCTCAAAGATACTCTCTTGCAACAATTCCGCATCAAAAATCTTGGACATCTAAAGTATTTTCTCGGCATTGAAGTCTCTCGGTCTCGAAAAGGGATTTTTGTTTCACAACAAAAATATGCATTAGATATTTTGAAGGATGCAGGATTATTGGGATCTCGTCCTAATTCCTTCCCAATGGAGGAGCATTTAAAATTAAATCCTAAAGATGGCGATTTGTTACATGATCCCACCAAATATAGGAGATTGGTTGGGAGATTAATTTACCTCACAGTGACAAGGCCTGATATAGTATACTCTGTGCAAATCTTGAGTCAATTTATGCAGAATCCTCGTACACCTCATTGGGAAGCTGCTTTGAGAGTTTTACGGTTCATTAAAGGCCATCCTGGTCAAGGATTATTTTTTCTTTCCTTTAATGATCTAATTTTAAAAGCTTATTGCGACTCAGATTGGGCACGGTGTACGACGACACGGCGATCTGTTTCGGGATTCTGTGTCTTCTTAGGAAACTCTTTAATTTCCTGGAAGTCAAAGAAACAAGCCAATGTGGCCCGTTCTTCCGCTGAAGCAGAATATCGAGCTATGGCTGCAACATGTTTGGAAATTACATGGATGTGATATATTTTGCAAGATCTCAAGGTTCCACAAACTCAGCCCGCATATTTATTTTGTGACAACCAAGCAGCTATTCACATAGCCAAAAATCATGTTTTTCATGAACGCACGAAACATATTGAGATTGATTGTCACATTGTGCAAGAAAAATTACAAGCTGGCATTATTACACCATCCTATGTACCATCCTGTTCTCAACTTGCAGACATCTTCACCAAACCATTGGGAAAAGAACAATTTCATCACTTAAGTAGTAAGTTGGGACTTCATGACATTCACTCGCCAACTTGAGGGGGAGTGTTAGACAAAATCCCATTGATTAGTTGTATATTCCCTAATTATAGCATAGGAATATTGTACATTATTTTTTTCCTGTAATAGCTCTCCTTTATTGCCATATAATGGCTGCATGATGCTGTAAATATTCATTCAAGGAATATCAAATACTTTCCCATATTCTTTCTCTCTAAACTTAATACCTAAAATGCAACGTCCAGATGGACATGGCCGTATCCATTATTAATTAGAGTGATGAATGAATAATTAGAGTGGTCAGCTGACCCTTATAAAATTTCGCAATTATTGTATATGATTGTAAGGATTTGTTTAGGAATATGAGTACAGTGCTTTACCTACATGCACTGATTCCGTTTAGGAATATTAATATATCCAGCGATCAACAAGTGTTTTTGGTTGAGATGGCTTGAGACCTCTCTTCCACCTTTTCTTTCTAAGAGGTAAGGTGGTATGTTAAAGTCATCGTCTTATAAATGCAATGTTTGGATTTTGTGGTTGAATTTTAATGATGAAATTGACAGAAGAGTTAGCAATAACTTGGATGCTTGACAATGTTCATTCTTTGTTTTTGGCCGTTGAATAATGTTAAATACTATCGAAAACTTGATGAAATAAAATACAATAGGACAAACTACATAAAACTCTACAATTTAACAACGTATTTCATCAATAGGACAAACTACATAAAACTCTACAGTTTAACAACCACCACCCCCACAGTGGAGGCAAGGGCAATACCACCAAAAATACATCAACTCGTAAACCTACAACATCAAAACAAAAAGAAGAAGCCAAAAAGCCCTGTCAGATCTGCTTCTCCACCTCCACCCCCCACCCACTCCACTAGAGAGGCTTGGTTTAGGGTTATCGTATGTTTCTTCATGAAAATTATTTGTTTATCGATGGTTTTTTTAACTGTCTTAGGCCCTGTTTGGGATGCTTCACTAACCCTCACTGGACTGAACTGGGTTAAATAATCCTAAAAACCTATGTTTGGTAAGGGAAGGGATTAAGTTAAATGAGATTATATAGTCCAATGGGTAAAAAAACCATTGGACTCGCTTGTCTAATATAGCGATCCCAAAATTTGGCTCTCTAAATAGCGAGGGCGCTATTTTGTACAGGGAGAACGGCTGAATACCACCACCACCATCAAACACAGAAGGCCGAAACATCAAACATACCACCATTACCCCAATTCCACAACCATCAGACCACCACCATCAAACCCATAACCAGCCACCACATACCCAATCGAACCATCACCATCACCCAATCAGTCAATCGAACCATCATCCCCAGCCACCACATACCCAGCTAAACCACCAGCACCACCCAATCGAACCACCACAACCATTCATTAGTGGAACCACAAAGAGAGAGAGAGAGAGAGAGAGAGAGAGAGAGAGAGAGAGAGAGAGAGAGAGAGGGGGGG